TAGTCTTAAACATGTTATAATATTTGTGTGACTATAAAAACTTTTTATTAAGGATACAATGAGATGTTTAAATTGAATTATTTTTAAATTTAAAAAGTAATTCTTTTTCAAATGAACTAGAACAAAATAGACTAACCTAAACTAACTAAAGGAGTAATATACTTTGGATGTGTCAAAATAGTTGGTTTGCATGTAATTTCAGTCCATACAAGCAAAACCATATACCTATATGCGGCCGTCCCCACATCTTGAAAATGATAGGTTCGTTATCGAGTTATGTTACCTTTACTAGAACATTGTCAATTTGTCATAACCACTTTTTATTAATAACTTTTTGATTGTCACTTGTCACGGTATAAATATTTCATCCCCTTTGCCAATTCTAGTAAAATTCTCAGACCTAACACTGAAAGGCATTGCTTGCATGCTTATATAAAAGCTTCTGATATTTCTTGTTGACAACTTGTGCTCATATTTATTGAATTTCAAAGGGTATTCGGCTATATGTTTCGATAGGAGATTTCTGTTTTATATCCCATTATATAATGTTGTCTTAGTTATATATTACCCTTTTCATGGAGACCGGTAAAGCATCAAAGACAGACCCAAAATTTGAAAGTGACGAGGATAAAGATTTGAGCAAATGCTAGAGCCGAATACGAACTCAGGTAGCACATAAAAGTCAAGTTGTGCCCCCTATATATATCGACCAATGTAGTTGCGCCAGATTTGAATCTTAAGGGGTCAATCAAAATATATACATGTTATTTAATATATAAATATATATATACTTATACTCCCTCCGTTTTAATTTATATAAACTTATTTGACTGGGCAAAGAGTTTAAGAAAATAGAGAAAACATGAACTTGTGGTGTATAATGATTCATATATATATATTTTGTGTGGGTATAAATCATTGCATAAAAGGTAAATTATTTCTAAATAAGGAAAATGGTGATTATTTTGGCATGAATTAAAAATAAAATAGGTTCACATAAATTAAAACGGAAGGAGTATATTTTTTTTTTGAAGTTATCGGAGTCCGGTAACCGCTTACCCAAAGGATATATCCGCCTCGGAGCATAGCACATCAGATCAATAAATAAAACTTGAGAATATTGTAGGGTCATTTTCAATGATCAACATTAATTTAATCCTTACACCCCTACCTTATTTTCCCCCTTGAATTTCTCTTGATGATTTGCAGGAGTATGGAGTAACTTTATTTCTTTATCGAACCCCATATCTGGTGGATATAGTAAGAGAGAACGTTGGTCGGGTGTTGAAATTGGATTCTATTCAACAAGGTGAAGCTTGGAAAGGAATGGATATGTTGATTTTCAACTCTTGGCATTGGTGGACTCACAAAGGAAAATCTCAAGGGTAACATCTTCCTTCCTCCTTTCATTTCTCTTAAAGAAAATTCAAAAGATATATACCGAGAAAGGGATCTTAGAACAAAGTAAAGCTATCTCCGTGTGATCCATAGGTCACGAGTTCAAACCGTGGAATTAGCGACTAATGCTTATATTAGGGTAGGCTGGCTATATCACACCCTAAGGGGTGCGGCCCTTCCCTGAACCCTGCGTAAATGCGGGATGCTTCGTGCACCAGACTGCCTTTTTCCTATATAGAAAAGGAAATGCATACCCAAGTTTTAAAAGGCTCCCGACCTGCGGGTCCAGAAAGACAAATGATAGACGGGATCTTTACGCAAATAGGTGACTGAATTTACTGTTTATTTTTTTAAACGGATATACATAGATTTTACGCTAAATTTACACATATCTTACTTTGATTTTATATACATTATACATCCGGTAATTATTTTTAAATTAGGGAGCTGGGTGGAGGAGTATTTAGATTAATTCTTCAATATAGACGGTCATACCTAGTATTGACGATCATAGGCGAACCTATGCTATACATAGAGGGGTCACCGACACCCATAAAGTTAGGCAAAAATTTCATGTATATATGTATAAGTCTTTAGAAAATAGTGATATATTAACAGTGACCACCCTATATATATACAAATCAAGTTTTGGTTGGATCCAAAAGTGAACCCGCGACCTTCAAATCTCAAGTCTGCCTCTGTAGGCGATGGTAATTCAAACCTTCATGAAAATATACTTTTCCGTTGCTTCAAGGCCCCTTCAAGAGATAGTCGCAAAGAAACAATTTATAATCCTGTGAAGAAAAAACAATAGTCAAGACCTCTCTACCTTTAGATCAAATAATCTCGTAAATAAAATTTGATTCCCTTCTTGTTATGACCTTAAGTGCAACATTAAACATTAAACTCTAACCAAGTCTTAAACCCACTGCAGTAACCAATGTCTAATGTTGCAGATGGGACTACGTGCAAGATGGCTCGAAAGTGTCAAAAGATATGGACCGTTTGATGGCATTTTACAAAGGCCTAACAACTTGGGCAAGATGGGTAGATCAAAATATTGATTCTTCCAAAACCAAAGTCTTTTTCCAGGGCATTTCTCCCACTCATTATATGTAAGTGTTAACCCCCTTTAATTTGCCCTGCACTTTCCTCTTCCTTACTTTGACAAAACGCCATGTTCAACTATTCTCTAGTTCAATTTATATGGCATGGTTTGCCTAAATAGAATCTTTTTTAAAAAAGTAGAATTTTAAAATTTGTGGTTTTAAAAATATCATGAAATTTATGTGGATATAAAAGCATGCATTAATGGTAAATAAATAGTTTAAAGTTAAATTATTTTTAAATATAAAAACGTGTCATTTTTTTTTCGAACGAACTAATAAGAAAATAATGCCACATAAAATAAAACGAATGAAGTAATATTTTCATTTTTGTCAACATCTTGTAATAGAATCCACAGTGAGTAAAGATGTTAAAAGAGAACGAGGTAGACCTAAAATCATATGAAAGTAAGTTATATCGAAAGATCTACTAATAACGTAGCAAAAGATAAAGCACAATGAAAGAATTTTTTTTTATATCCGCACTACCAATTAGTAGTTGAATATATTTTAATCATGTCAATACATTTACTTTAGTTCCTATGGTTTTTAGGCGTATTTTAGCCTATTAAAGATTTTTGTGCGAGTATGAAACATAAATAACTTAGAACTTTTCATTTTTACTATTATTCTCCACAATGTTCGCCCGCAATAAATTTAAATAAACAGTAAGAATTCATATAGCTGACCATAGCTTGTGTGGGACCGGTGCATAGTTATTGTTGTTTGTTTGATGTCAACACCTCGAACTAATAGCAAATGATGAATTTTCAACTCTCAGAGCTTAGAAGTCACACATTATGTTTACATTTTGATCAGGGGTAAAGAATGGGGTTCCTCAACAAGGAACTGCAATTCAGAGCAAGTTCCATTATCAGGATCAACATATCCAGCAGGATTACCAGCATCTGCAATGGTCGTTAACAATGTATTAACTAGGATTAAGACACCGGTTTATCTCCTCGATATCACATTTTTGTCACAATTAAGGAAAGATGCTCATCCATCAGCTTACAGCGGCGAGCACCCCGGTGTTGATTGTAGCCATTGGTGCCTTCCTGGATTGCCTGATACTTGGAACCAACATCTTTATGCAGCATTGATTATATGAGGATGAAATTAATCCTCGTATCATGTTCTACTTGTGATCTTCATCTTCATTTTTAGTCAACGGCTGCAGTAACTCTAACTGTCCTAAGGTGGTGAAATTCCTTGTCGCATAAGCAGCAACTTGCACGAATGGCGAGACTAACAATCTTATATTTTACAGAATTATTATTTACAAATACAGCAATATTGGCGAGACTAACAATCTTAAGTAATTTAATATTTATTTCTGTATTTGTGTTATTCTTATTATTCTGCAAACTAAAACCTTTGTGG